GGTAAATAAATATATTAAAAGCATTTTTAAGATAATCATGAGGCCATCATTCATAATAACACAATCCCACACAACCGGGTTTAAATTAATTTGAGTGAGAAGCAGTAATACCTCTAAAATTTTCAAAATATCAAAGATGGAATGAAAAAAAATCAATTGCATTTGCTGCCATACAACTCAAATCGATAGAATGTCTAGATCACGTGAGCACTACTGTATAATCAAATATAGTAATTGAAAAATAACAAAGCACAAGCACAATTTAATTAAAAATTATTATTTACTTTCCCTCAATAAAAAGGGAAACGAGAAATGTACTAGACATTTATATTATATGTTAGTATTTTTTATTAAATTATTCGTAATCAATCATTTAAAGGAATTAGCGTTTACGCGACTAAAGCATTATTTATTGTTAATTTACGTATAATTTTTCAAAATGTGTGTGTGTGTGTACTGATTTATTTTTTAAAAAATTTCAAGTTCTATTCTATTTGTTTTATTGTTTTTGCCAGACTATTTGTTTTATTTCAAATCGTCAATATATAATTATCAATGTACAAAAGGTATTGGGAATGTTAACATACTTAAAATTTAAAACTTGAGATGTAATTTTTCCTTAAAATTAATGTTTTAGATATATAATTCACTCTATACAATTTCATTTACTTAAAATATTATAACATTATACATAGTTGTCTTTTTAATTCTATTTTTTTAAATGATAAACTTTGAGAATTTCCAGGAGGGATTACAGATCACTCACCAATGAGTGCCTCACATCAGTGAACGGTATTCGAACCAAATATATTCAATTTTTAACTCATAAATATTAAATATACTTCTGGAGAGGTCTGAAATATAAAATTATTGTTAATTTGAGATTTGAGTTCTATATTTCCTTCAATCGATTTCACTTTAAAACTATATACGTTATCTATCATTAATTAGTTATAATTGAGATCTACATACCTTCAACCAATGAGATCTACCTACCCTGGTTTTTGGTCAAATACTACACCCCCAAAACATTAAAAATTCAGATGTTACATTATAAATAGGACCAAAACAAACTACTACCTACTTTCAGACAAATACAACCTTTTTATTTTGTCTCTCTTCCCCTTTTGTTCTCCCGTTTGACATCAATTTAATGCCAAAGCCAGGTTCCTACTTCCTTTTCCTTTAGAATCATTATCGCTTCCATTTTTAAGTTTCATCAAACACCCCAAACATTTTTAAAGTCAATAATCATCACACGAAACATATGAAGGGAATTTTTAAATTTTACATTAATGATTTCATATGAATTATTATCGAGAATAGTCCAAACTAGATCAAAACCTAGTTTAAGAGTCGTCATGGTTGTGGTCTTCATTATGTATAATAATAACATGAATTTTTGGGGCTCAACAGTTGCAGTTGATATAGAAATAATAAACCAAAGACATACTCTTCTAAAGTAATTTATTACAAAATTAATCAAACCATGCCACAAGAGCTGTAAATATCTATCAGTTTATTGCTAAACTTGTTGGATTAGAGTCTCGAGTTCTGGTTATAAAATCTTTATTTGAAAATTTTACTAGATATTTCTTTCACAATCCTTTCAATAAACTGATATCCATAACCGTGCCTGAAAATTTGCATAAAGTTATGTTAATACTAATTAAATTCGTCTTGCGAAGAAATTTATGTTTATTTACTTATAATCGAATACAATGCTAGTGATAGGTAAGGAAAAACAATTTAAAAGTTGTGAATTACCTTGGATCAAAATGGAAGCCATGAGAAATCTTGAATATTTATGCAATGAGAGCTTCTAACTTTTTATCTTCTCCTCATCAACCCTATGATTTTTCTCTTGCATAGATAGTGCTTGTTCATAATTTTCCTTTGATGTTGCACTGTTGAGGGGTCCACATCATAAAAAATTGGCAAAACAAACCCACCATTTCTCTTAATACACTGATAGATCTTAACAAGCTCATTGAGATAAAATGATGAGGAAGCGCAAGTCTTATAAAATACAATAATGACCATCTTAAAATTTTCAATTGCTTTGAGAAGTTCTGCGGTAATTTCATCCCCTGCTCTTAGTTCTTCACCATCAAGGAAGGTGCAAATTCCCTTTTGACTTAGAGGATGATATAAATTTCCCGCCTCTAAAATTGATAAAAACATCGTAAGTCCATTGGCAGTGGAAGGAATAAGGCATTGTTGCTAACCTAGCCATGATGGCTTCCTACCAGTACAAAAGAAGAAACCGTCGTTAATTTACCTAAAAAAAAAAAAAAACTATGCGAGTGGTGAGACCGGAAGATAAGGAAATGATGAGGTATTGAATGAATTTGCTTACCAAGCTGATGACGAAGTAAATGCGAGGCTCAAGGATAATATAATAACGTTGAGCTTGATGCAATGGATTAACTACTGATAAATTAAATTAGTTTCTTTGACAAAATGGTACTAGTCTTTTGTCTCTTTTTTTAATTCAATTTTTAACAACAAATTAGAACAATATCTTGCCCATTGTCTGGGTATATCGAAAATAACAATTATAAGATATTATATGAATAATTTTTTATATTAAACTAAACAATAAAAGAAAATAAGAAAATAAAATAACAGCAATTAAGAAGTAGTGGAAAATATTAATTTCATTTTTTATAAGAATTAATTTCATTTGTTAATCAACTAAGTATAGATCAAGAGTTTAATACATAACTAAAAAAATAACAAGCCATAGAGGAAACCAGCTGTGACTCTCAAGGATGTATAGAGAGCAAGGAAATTAATTGTGAGTGCGTAATTGATTGAAGGATAGAAATAACTAATGTCATCTATGGGGAGACCTACGTGAGTAACTCATGGGGATAGAGAATCATACATTTTTCGGTTTAGATTATGAATAGTTATAATAATCAAGTTAGTAGTTCAATAAAAGAAAAGGAGGACAAAACAATTAGGTTTGAAATTGAATTGTGTTAAATAAATATGTTGAGGATATTTTCAAATTATTGATGCATAACTATGACTCGACCTTAAGACTTCTAATAAAAAAGATAAAATCCCTAGCCAATTAATGCAAATGGTCAATGGTGTAATAATTACTCTTATATATATATATATATATATACATGCAATCCCCAATTTATGATATCTAAGTTAGTTAATATTTCAATCGGTCAATTAGACATAATTTCTTTTATTATTTTTCAGGATCAAAGTTCAAAACGATTACGAGCATGCAGCATAATGATGAATTTCACTGAATCTTCAGTTAAATAAAAAAATGGTAGGAACCGCAGAATATTTAGGTTTAGATCAAGGTGATGAAGTTCATTTGATTATGTCATTGTCACAGGGATAACTTGCGGTGTTTGTTTTGTTCTGATATGGTTTTAGTATAATTTTTCCAGTTGTGTTGTGACAAAAAAAAAAAAAGGACGATAACTTTGAGTGATGAGTCCCATGGTAATTAAAAAAAAAAATCGGACGGTTGAAATTTGCATACGTAGTCTTTCTCACATGGTATTTTTTTAATCAAAATAAGGTATTTAGAGATAATCATAGACTTTTTTGTTTATATAAATAAATAATAAAGAAGCAATAACTAAACAAATAAAAAATTAACGAAGGAAAGGGTCAAATACTGATCATGAGTACATATTGTGCATTTTATATTTTTGGGGTTCGCTTTGTCATTTTCTCTTCCTTAATTTTTTTCGCGCTTTTTGCCTAATATAAACCATTTGGCCTACTATTTTTCACGGGCTGGCACTTAACAAAACCATCCTAAAAGTGAAACAAACTAAGCAGATTCAATGGACCTGAAAGATAGAAAAACAGAAAAGTTGTTAAAAAACTATTGACTTCAAAATGTTTTTGTTTATGATTTAAATTTGATTCCATTCAAGTCCCAAATATTTGTTTGTGAGGTGGGCTCTGCAGATAGAGACAAAACTACTTGATAAAATAAAGTAACTTATAAATTTCACAAAGATGAAAAAAGAAGATTCACAAAACAAATTAACAAAGATGATTTATTCCTATTCTGCATATTGCTTCCTCTATAGAGTTTAGAGACTATTATTGTGGGCATGATCTGTAGAAAGGAATAAATCATTTTTATTTTGTAGAGGAGAGAGAGTATGATGAGAGGAGAGAGGGGAAGTTGTCAATTATATTCACATGAGAGAGAGAATGATAAGAGAGGTGGGGACGAGAAAGAGGGGAGAAAGAGAAGGAGGGAGAGTGGGAGGAGGATGGTGTGTCAGCCACTTGTACAAAATAGTACGGCCCACAAAGTAGAAAATGGAATCATTAAGGTATGTTAACATCGGCATAATGATGCAAGTGATTTCAATTGTTGAGGAATAAAAATGACTTAAAATTAAGTTCAGGACAACCACACATCGTACGCAACAAGCTCGAAGACGTTTTATACTTCAACATGAACCTTTAAGAAGAATGATCTCTTATAGTTTATAAAAAAAAATATTAGGATGTATAAACATATAAATACTAATATTTGATTTCAACTAACCAATACAAGATTCAACCTAATGCTCTTAAAATTGATGAAATCACATATTCTACATAAAAAGCAATGAAATAAATTAAAAGGGCAAGCATGTTTTAGAGAGTCAAACTAAGTCTAGAGTTCTTTAGTCAGAGGAAGCCTGTAATATTTGGGTTACTTATTATTCATTATGGTTTTTTGGATCTGTTGTCAAAGACAATCCTTCTTATACACAAGCTCATAAATGTTGGTTGGTTGTGTTCAATGTTTCAATCTAAATTTGCAAATTAACTCTTGCATGCCATGAGGATATTAAAATATATCAAGAAAAGACAAGTTTCACAGTTAGAAAGAAAAATGAAAGAAAAGAAAACTAGTTTTGTAGCGATAATGTCATTCAACTCATATATAAAAGAAAAGATAAGTTTCACAAGTCTAATTAACAATATCACAATAGGTAACCCGGTAAAACAAGACGAAAACAGTTTCATCAAACCAAATAAAAAAAAAAAAGCACACACAGACAAGTGTAACAATGGTAAATAATTTAATTAACATGACCACTTAAGGATGCTTTATTATCTAGTAGGAAGTAGAATCCCATTGCTTATAGATGCTTCTACACCAAATTGCCTCTCTGACAATCACCCCATCCATGCATGCATTCAAACTTCGAACAGTTGGACTTCTCTCATCATCCTACTGATAGTAGTAAATAGCATTCAAAACCCAATTAATCACAATAAAAATTTTAGTATAAAAGTTGAGTTACTTAATTAAATTTGTCTTAATTTCATGATCACACTGATTAGCAAAAATGGAAAGACAAGAATAAAGAATGAAAAAGGGAAGTGATTACCACTCATCTTGCGCAGAACTTGCGGCACCTTGCTACATTGATGATTGTGAGAACTATAATTCTATCGTACAGAGTATATAGGAAGTTGAAATAGGCATGTCTCCAAGAACGGAACAGAAGCAAGGAACCAAAGATGGCCCAAAATCCAGTGGCAAATCCTAAACCCATGCTTATGTAAAATCCTTGGCTCAAAATGGAATCATCTTCCTCTTCTTCTGGTTTCATGACAGCCACAGGGCCTTCTAATTCTTTCTCGCCAGGACAAAGTTTTTCAAGTGGACTCCCACAGAGATTATTTCCTTCATACACAGAGGCATCAAAACTCTGGAGCTGTGTTCCCAACGGAATCTTTCCAAACAAATTATTATTGGATAAATTCAAGACAGCAAGCCTATCAATTTTAGAAAGACTTGAAGGGATTCTTCCTGACAAGTGGTTTCTTGATAGATCAAGAAAATCAAGGGCATGTAACTTTCCAACCTCCCAAGGGATTTCACCACTCAAATTATTACCTGATAAATCTAAAGATACTAGTTCTGAGAGGCTTCCAATTTCTTTTGGAACTTCCCCAACTAGTTGATTATTGGAGAGATCGATAAACTTCAAAAGTCTTCTATTATTTTTGAATGGCAATTCTTTTCCTTTCCACTTAATGACAAGATAAAAATCATGCCAAATCATAGATAAGGCAGAACCATTCTGAAGGACAAAGAATTCATCAATGCCCTCCATGATGCTAGGTTTTGTAGTCATTGCAGTGAAATTCTGGAGACATCTTGGTATTTGTCCAGATAAATTATTTAGTGAAAGATCTAAGACTTGAATGGTTGTGATATGACAAAAATTCAGTGGCAAATTTCCAAAGAAGTTGTTTTTTGTCAAGCTAAGAACTTGCAATTTAGAAAGGCTAGATCCTATCCATGGAGGGATGGGTGCTGATAATTCATTTTGTCCCACATCCAACATTATCAAGTTGGTGCATTTCTTCAAGGATGGAAGTTGGCCTCTGAAGTGATTGTTGCGCAAAATTAAGTGTCGAACCAAGAGTAATGAACCCATAGAAGTTGGAATTTTCCCAGAGAATTCATTATTACTCAAATCAATAACTCTTACTGATTTTAAGTGATTCCAACAATTTGGAAGTTGTCCTTTGAAGTGGTTGTTTGACATGTTTAAAAAGATCAAGCTTTCCTTGGGGGAGCAAAGAAAAGAGGTCATTGTTGCTATACCTAAGATCCCAGTATTAGAAACATCAAGAAAGGATAACTCATTTGTGTTTGAAGCCATTTGGGGAAAGAAGGGCCTAACGTGCAAGATTGCACATGAAATGATCCCATATGCATAGGAGGAATCCAATTGTCATTGAATTTCAAAGTAATAGAGTTTTGGGATAAATCTAACCCATCTAATTGGGTGAGATTAGCAAAGGGCCCCAAGTTTTGATCTCATCTTTTAAAAGATTCTCTGAAACATCAAAATCTTTCAATTCTAATAGATTTTCAATTGATTTTGGTAAAGATCCATTCAATTGATTTTTATCAAGATACAATAATTGCAGGTTTTCCATTATTTTGCCCAAATCATTTGGAAATGGACCTTTTAAGAGGTTTGCCCCCAGGTCAAGGGCTGTAAGACTAGATTTGAAATTGAACAACCAAGGGAATATGGATGATGTAAACTTGTTTTTAGGAAGCTGGATATATTTAAGAGAATTAGAAAAATTCAGGTGGGAAGGATGCACTTGAAGAAGATCAAAATCTGAAAGATTACAATTTCTAAGGGATAGAAATAGTAGATTTGGTAGCTGGCCAACCAAGTGCAACCAATTTTTGGATTTTCTAATATTTGGCATATCGCCTAACCCAAGTTCAGTCAAGGAAGAAAGGTGTGACACCCATTGAATGTCAATTTGGAGATTGTCATTTGAATGAAGATAAAAGACCTCTAATCTTGAAAGGTTACCAAGTTGGTGAGGAATTATGCCCACTAGATGATTCTTAAAGAGGTAAAGTTCCTGCAACTTAGAAAGATTTCCCAACTGCCAAGGAATATTTCCCTCTAGATAGTTTCTTCCTAGAGAAAGAACTTTCAAGTTTGAAAGCCTTCCCAATTCAGAAGGAATTTTTCCACCAAAAAAAGAATGAGACAATTCAAGGAATCTTAAATTGGTAAAAGAACCAATGAACTCTGGGATCAGGTTTCCGTGGAAATTATTCCAACTTAGATCCAAATAAGTTAAATGTTGCAATTCCACCAATGATGCACTAATATCACCTCTTAAAGGTTGATCATATTCATGAGTAGAAAGATCAAGCACCACAACGTGGCCTGTTTGGTTGCTACACTCAACACCCCACCAGCTGCAACAATCAGAGTCTCCATGTTCACTCCATGAAGATAAAAGGCCATAGTCATCCGCAAACCCTTTCTTCAGCTGCAAAAGTGCTTGCCTCTCCCTCTCTATGCAACTGATGTTTTTGTTTTGCAGACAATGCACGTGCAAAACCCATATACACAATATGGCTTTGAGCAGTTCTAGACTATTTGGATGCATGGTCACTGTGATCTTCTCACACAACTTGGATTGCGCACCAACCTTCGAAATTAAACTTCAATTTATAGCCATTTATTTTTCATTATGAAAATGAAGTACCACTTTTCTTTTTTTTAAAAAAATAAGACTTTGTAATGTTGAGTTTTGACTGATAATAGTTTCACACGCACATAGCGACAAAACGTGTGAATACTTCAAAAAATTTAATGGACTTTGTAATATAATAAAATAAATCATATGGTGACTCAAGCAATTACTAAAAGGACGTTTACATAAATTATTACAATATAATGATAATATTTGAAAACATTAAATAAAAACACAACTTTGAAAATACGCCAAGGAAATTGCCCATCTTGTCAAGCTTGATTTCTTTGAAAGAGAAGGATTTTCTTTTCTCAATAAAAGAACTATGACACAGTCATACAAAAAGATAATATAAAAAATTCCAAGGAAGAAGACTAATTATACAAGTTTAAATATACTTCCTTCGCCTGAAGTTATAAGATACTTTTACGAAGATTCAACATCTTAAAATATAAGATACTTTTATAAAAGTAAAATTTCATTACTTATATTCTTTCAATATTATCCTTTTTATTATATTCTCTCCTCGTGATATTCTTTTACGAATGTAGTATTAAATGAAATATATTTTTAAAAGTTTATATTTTCATTTTTAAAAAACAAAGTTGTAAAGTATATTTAATAAGTTTTATTGATATGTATAATTCTGTTTAAAATGTTTTAAAAATTGGAACAGAGTAGCATAGTCTCATTTGGCCAAACAAAAATAAAAGCCAGCTGCCAAACTGAGAGGTGGTTTTTTTTTTTTTTTTTAAACCATTAACATTTGAAGACGAAGTTCATTTGACTATGTCAATTTGTGTAAATGAAGATTAAAAAGAGAAACTAATGTCATCTAAGGAGTGACTACTCAAGTATATAATAATCCAATAATAATGTAAATTATTAGAATAATTGAAAATAGGACACTATTGCGGACGCGGTTATGAAAAATGATTATTTTAAAAAGTAAGCGTCTTTTGTCGCATATGGTTATTTCTCATTCTTAGTCAGTCTACTGTAGCACGTATGTAGTAATCCATGGGCCATGGCAATGGATGGTTATAATAATGAAGTAAATAATAGTTAAATTAAATAAAAAGAAAACTAGGACATGAAGCATGACAGCTATGTTGGACCTTGAATCTCTATAAGCAATAAAAAAAAATTATAATTACATTTTTTATTTTAATTTTCTTTTTATTAAAATGTGGTATATACTCTTATTTTTATGTATGTGTGCCCCCCAAATTATGACATCTATTATAAATATTATGTTATGGATGTCTATAACTTATAGCTTTTAGGATTCATTCACTCTTAATGTTCTAATGAATGGTGTGGAAGGAGCTTCTTATTGTTAATAGCATATAACCTTCAAATGTTTATATAATGCAGTGTTATATACCTATTTATATATTTGTAACATTAGGATATGATTTTAATAATTGGAGGCCTATAAATAGAGATCATGTCCAAAATATATGTACACAAGTGAATAACAATTCTCCTCCATTGTCTTCTTTCCATTTCTTATATTGTCTTGTTCTTCTTCATATTAGCTATATTTTAAGAAATTTTGATTTCGTGGACTAGTATTATTATATACAATATGAAATAATTGAAAATAACTTGTTTTAATTTCAACAATTGAAAAGTAATTTCTCAAAGATATCAATTCGTTTTTTTTTTTAACAAAGAAAACAAAATCTCCCTCCACCCTCCCCCTTGTGTGAATGATATGTCTCTGGACAAGACCAACTCGGGTCTTATCCGCTCTAAATAAGAATCCTACGTATTCCTATTGGCCAAGGGATTCACGTGGCCAGAAAAGATAAATGATAAACCAATTATTTACATAATTTTTGGGAACTTTTAGATTTAATTATGCCAACTAATTGTGATGAAATAAGGAAAAAAATGATTCATATAGCCTCGCTAGTATCAAAATGCAAAAGAGGAAGAAAAAGGATCCAAAAATAAGTTAAACCAAGAAAATTCAGCTCAGGAGATTTCAACTAGGGGCAGATATGCACCACAAAGGCGGATGAAACATTATTAAGGATTTCAACCAGGGGCAGACATGCATGACTAGGGGAGGATGAAGGAAGCATAACCAAAATTAATATTTTTTTTAAAAAAAGTTTTAAACTGGATATCAGCATATCTAGAGATAAGGCATGATTTGGACAGATTACAAGCCCATTGAGGTCAAATTTATTATAAATAGACCTCCCAAAAGCCTTTTAAAAACATTCAATCTTATATTTGAAGGTTAGGAGGCATATTATGGAGTCCAAAGGAGTCTTTCAAGCTGGGAGTTTTTTTCTCTTCTCTTCTTCTTTAGATTCTTTTTATGTCCATTATTTGAGATTGTTTTGACTCTATGAGTTCTTGGTAAACTCCTAGTCAGGGTAGAGAGTAGCTTGGTTGGGATGGATTTAGTTTTTTATTTGGTTTTAATTAATTTTTCCTGTTGAACAATATTTTTTGTCTATGAGAATTTATATTTTCTTTTATATTTATGTCTCTTGTTTTAATTACTTTTCATATATGTGGCCAGTATGTAATCTAATCATGGGTAGTTTGATGAATTAAAAGGTGAAGAACTTACTTATATCTAGAGAGATAGACACAGATAACTAAATTAGGAATAATTTAGTAGTTGATGGTGGCTTAAATTGTAACTTTACAGTTTAATTAGAGTATAATTTAGTGGGAGCTAGATTTAACTCTAGTTAAATATATCCTAATCTACTAGAAGATAATTAGGACACCTTAGCAACGATTGTCACTATAGAAGAAGGAAAAATAATTAATTGAATTAGAATAATCCATTCTGATATCCTGATCCCTAGCGTTTGTTTGACTAGTTAGTTCATCATCTCCTCATGTCTATCATTTTCTTATTTAATTTCATTATTATTATTTTTAATTTAAATCTCTTTTCAAAGCTCTTATTTGTTTTCTTAAATAACAAAGATCACAATCTTCCTCTAGGTTTGACTCTTGGAATACTTTAGGAATTATCACTACATCGATATCATGTACTTGCGGGAGTCGATCAATAAGAAATAGAATGGTCAAATAAAAATTAGATAGACATTTATTTCCTCCAGTAAAGCCCAACTATCACATCTCAAAACACTGAGCATGGTTAGCATGAAATATAAGGTTAACCTTCTTCAGAAGGCAAATCAATATATAGTTTCCCAATTACAATTGATTAAAAAAATATTTTAAAACAATTAATCAACCTGTTTGAAATGAATAGAAGACTTACTTTCCCAAACTTTAAACACTAAAAATAAAAAGGTGGATATATATCTTGCCTGTTGATTGGAGCAACTATTGAATACAAACAAAAAATGATAAGTCCAATAATTCATAACAACAAATACAACTATCTAATGGGCAAAGAGTCCATTTTGTAAATAAGTCCAAGAGGGGTGAATTGTAATAATTAAATTTTTTCAAAAATAAAGCTGAAAATAAATGAAGTTAGAAAAGGAACGATATCACCAAGTAATCAAAGAGCATGAGAAAGAAAAGTACACGAATATCTATTCTGGTTTAGCTCCAATTACTCGAGCCTATTTAGCCTCAAGCTTCACTTAAGATTTAATTTGGGTCCTTGATTGTCTCAGTACAATCCTAGACAACAAGTTTGAAACACTCTTCCTTATAAAAATAATGATTAACCCCACTTAAGATCTCGGAGTTTTTTACCTTTGTTCTTAAAAAATCAGACTTTTGGGTGTGTGCATGTCATCCTTTTCATACTTGGGGGGAGGTGGTCCATGGTCCATTTTTTCCTACTCTTTTCAAAAAGTTAGATTAAATAAATATGGTCAAATTAAATTTTATTTATTGCAGATAGAATAATTTAATATATTAAAATTTTTCGATGAGAATAAACAAGTCATCACGCATCTCGAATTATGAAATTTTCTTGCACTAGTATTATCAGATACAATATGAAATAATCTCAAAATAATTTGTTAATCCATTTTGAGTTAATTTAGTCTCACAACGTTATAATCAAGCTTAATCGCGAAAGCTTTAATTTTGTATGTATGGAAAAGTCAGTTGGGTTCAATGAATCTATATATATATATATAATAGAAGAGGAGAAGTCATTCTCATGCATTTATGTACTCTCACTTCTCCTCTCTCTCCCCACCATCCCTTGTGCGCTCTGCAGAAGGAATCCTATTCCAATTGGCCGAGGGGTTCACGTGGCTGAGTAAAAAGATAAGGAATAGAATGGTCTAAACATTTATTGTTATATCCTTTCATTAAACCATTCTTTTAGAAGCAATTTTATTCTTTCATTAAAAAATCATTAGTTTCATTGTTATCTATCAACATGGATTACGTGTAGACCCTATTGATCATTTGACTTGGCTTATTATTGTATGGTTAAATTGCTAATTTGGCATCAGCTCTTTTTTTCAAGAGAAAGAGTACCTTAAAGTCTTGTTAAAACAAAAAACTAATAATTATTTATTTTAATAAAATCTTGTTATAATTATTAAATATTTAATATTTAATAATTTAAATATTATTTATAAATATCCATCCAAAATTTATAATTATTTTTTAAATATTAACAGCTTAAACTAGTTTTTCATAAATTTATAGATGACTTGTAAATTTTGTGTGAATAATAATAATAATATTATTATTATTACCATTGTTGCCATTGTGTGTGAAGATTTGTAAATAATAATGATATTTATAAATAAATTATAAAAAGGACCGTTTAGAAGAATTAATATCGATCAAGTCTCTTAAATTTTCTAGATCATTCTCTATGATTTTTTTTTTTATCAACCATTAGTCAGATTGACTAATATTTAACAAAGGTGCGATATTGCTCTGTTTTTAATATATGAAGGAAGAGAATATTAGAATTAAAGTGTCACTTGCTC